GCACCTTGGGGCTGTTATGAAAAATAATGACCACGTCATCCTGAAGTAAACCGATGCACTGAACAGGCATTAGCGAATTTTGTGAAGCTGTATAATATATGAAAAGAATGAACTATCTTGAAACCGGTCATATTGGTAGTGCGCATGTAGGAAACCTCTCCTATCCTGAAACGCTGTCAAGCTCGTCTCGATCGTTTCCAGCAGCGCTATCTGCGAAGTATCCATGAGGTGTGACTGTACCACCGGATGGTGAACGAACAGGTACTGGAGATCAGCGGTCAGAGAAAACCATCCGGCGAACTCAGAGATGTCTTCTTGCCGGTTTGATAAAACGACTGAGGAGGGACAGATTGGCATGCTTCCAAATCATATCTCACCCAGGAACCTCCTCTTGAAAATAGAAAACAAGAAAGCGTGTCATTGATGCTGATTTACTTGGGACGATGAATACCACCTTTACTATACCAGTGAACGCTGCCTAATATCAACCGAATGCGATTTCTAACCGTCAGGCATAATAAATTTCGGAATTTGGGTTGCTTTGATGGTTAAGCTTTAGTGGACTAAGATGACGATGGCAAATAACAATAACGACAATAACAATATCTTTAGGCACTCAACCGCAAGCATTTCACTATCTTCATAAAATCAATGATAGAATGCAAGAAGAGAACGTTAATCCGTTTGAGTAATTGATCGACCTCGAAAGTTCAAGATTAACTTTTCTTTGTAGTTGCTCTTCATACATTACGGATGTCATATCTACACTTGAATAATTGTAAAGGTCACTAAGCAATGGAAACAGAAATACATTGCGTGATTTGAAGTGTGCGTAAGTCGGAGAACTGAACACCGCTGCGCATTAACTGGCAAAAGTCCTTACATTACACTGCCAGAGTACCGCTCAGTATTATGCCGAAGATCGATATCTTGTAGGAAAGCGAAAAGGCCACTGAAAGAGTTTTGCGCGACAACAAATTCGCTACACACTTCATTTTCGTCCATTCCGTAGTGCCAGATCGTTAGGTGAAAAGTAGATTAACTAATCGTCATAACACTCCAACCTCATTCCGCATTTTCCGTCATATCATGATGAAACAGCGACTGCCCTGGTCAACTTTGGCTCCCATTCAGCGCGCAAAATGACCAGACAAAACATAGCCATTAGCGTTGAGAAATAATAAACTGTACAGTCTATCAGACGCAACTCGTTAAGCGGCATTAGACATTGGAAATTAGCAGATTTCCCAGAACTTTCAAACCGGACGCGAAATGCAAGAGGACGTCTAGGCAACTCTAAGAGAAAATAAACGGATATTACAGAGGCCCTCGTTAATGTTCCAGTACTGCTGGAGAGCATAGAAAAATCAAGTGGTGCTTTGGAATGGAAAAGTTCATAAGGTTGCAGTACAGTACTACGGATGGAGTAATAGCTGCAGTACGACTGTTTTCAAAATGATTGAAATTTTTATGAATAACTACGATAAGCTGAGTTAGAGTACGGTCGTTTAGTGGATGATTTTCAAAGGATTAAATCGACTTGGCTATCTAGTCTAATTTAATTTCGTTATTTCTTCCATGGTTCAGTCGTCGTTTAGAATTAGAAAAATGTTCGCTTGTGCCATAATGGCAAGATTCATTTTCAATCTTTCATCATGAACTGTCAGCTGATACAGTTTCTGAAACATGTGTCATTTAGATATATAAATAGATGGTTGCACGATTCATGGTTCAAAGCAGCACCGAATGCAACAGATGGTAAAATCTTTACTGCCAACGCGTTTCGCTGCGTAGACCGTAGCTTCTTTGTAACTGAGGGGCCAGAATCAAAAGTCTGGAGTCTTACTTCTCGTATGATTTACTTGCTATTTAATGCCTTGTCAACGATTTTACTTGTATGCGCCGTTAAGGCCTTACTGAGCGAACTTAACGGATCTCTCTCCTTCTTACACAAGGGCCATATACCAACAGAAGCACTTCGTACTTTTCTGTTGCAACGTAATCTGATAACGAGGATTGGCAGCAGCGCTACGTCGCTAAAAAATTCTGTGATCCCTCTGTTTTATTAAGTTAGAAAAGTTAATGTAATACTCAAATGTTTAATAACGTTTGAAACTAAATTAACGAAATGGAATTCTCTATTTTTGACCGTTAAGTACCTGACAGGATCGCAACGAGAAAGAGCAGCAGTAAACCCAACCGACGCTTTTGCAAGTCAGCGGAAGCCAGCCATAAATTATTCTCGGAACGCTAATTTTTCTTCGTTTTGATTGAAGCGAGAAACATGATTTGATTGTCAATAATGACCATTTGTCACATGGCCATTTAAAAGACTGATACATTAAAATTTCTCATTCCACATGAAAATTTTATTCTCTGTCAACAAAAATTTCATGAAATCAAATCAACCAATATCCGGACAAAAACCTTAGAAGTAAGGTCAAAATGCGGCGCCTACATCACTGAATGCTAGTGCTCACTTGTTAGTATTTATGTTGCATCTACTGTTTCCACTGAAATTAACTTGCTGCTACTGCGATATTTTCATAACTCCCAAGACCTTTCTTCAATACCGTCTTTAGACTGTTGATTATTTCCAGTACATGTGCGTGTGCTTTGACCATTGTTGACATTCAGACGGGTAGCTGGTGGTTAAACTTTTACTCTCAACCATGGTCATTCTACTTTCCATTCACCTCAGTTTTTGTTTGCGCGTCCACGCATAGGAGAAAATAATTATCGTCCATGTAATTTCATTATTTCACCTTGACGATGAATGAAGAACTTATTTAGTGCAAAAACAGTTGCTGAACCTCAGCCATAATAGCTGTCTGTTCTCTAACTGCTGACACGAACAATACTGATTTCAATGACTGGTAACGAGAGCTGAGTGAGGTGAAAAGTAGAGCTGTATTTGTGAAAACTGCCAACCGGTGAGAAATCATTTTTAACCGAAGACAATTTTCCCGTTCAACTTTAGTCAGACCGTTGTATACCAGTGAAAACAGAAGCTGGAATTGTGGCAAATAGATAATTATAAAGTTATTTTTTGTCGCCTTGACAAGAAGCCTCGAACTATATTTTTCAGAGCATTTGTGTTGATAAAACTTCATTAAGAATGACTCACACGCGGCTGTTCGCCGATACTCCTATTTCAGTAAATATAGCCTCAAAACATTTCTCTTGAGGACGTAAGTGCAAAGTTACTGGATCAGTATTAAATTGGAGGGGGAGGGGTCATCAACTGTTCTAACTACCGTCAGCCTACTTTCTAATATCAAAACCATTTCTGTTGGAACTCTCTAGGAAGCAAACGGGAACAATTCATTGGAGACCTCGCTCAAATCAGGCAGACTGTCAATTGGAGAACTCCGGCTTTCATCAAGTTTTCTTCGTTCTAAAGATCGTAAAAAATGCGAACAATGTCAGTGCCCATAGTATGTCAATTTCATCGATTTTGAATCTGAATTTGATTCATTACATCCTTGAAAATGTAGTTGTGTTAATGGCTGGTAAGATTATAAAATATCTAACCACATCGCGGCTATTTTAGAAGTGATACATGAAAGGAGCTACTAAATGGGATTAGTTCGACGAAGGGATTAGTTCCCCCAATAATTGAGCAATTAGCCACAGATATGTACTGTCACCTTTGGTATTCAACAAATCTTGCTATCTTTCACTGCGGTCAGTTCGAAAATGTTGAAAGACTAAAATCTCATAACAAAAATGAGATGCAATTGAACATATCAAGTCTGCTATCTTGCTGACATGGAGTACGCTGGTACTGTTGTTTGGTTCGGTGCAACAGGATACCGACCTTGCACAGGACATCTCCGGTTACCTCCATAACGTTTACAAGGCATACATTATTAGGAACCATCCGGCATATGAATCAGGGAAACGAATCACAGAAGGTCAGAGCTCACGTACCTCAGTTCCATTTTTTATCTACTGACAAATCAAGTTGCAGCTAATTAAGAGAAA